AATAAGCTATTTAAAAACAACAAACAATAATACATATGAATTATACTTTTTTTTTTTCATTATTTTACTTTCAATCGTTGAGTTATTGAATCAAAATGAAGTAAAATACTATCATTAGATAAATTAAGTGTATAATCCGCACTTAATGGATCCTTTAACAAAAAACAATATCATATTTCAATTCATTGTCTATATTATTCTTTTTTTTTTACTTTATCATTATAAACTAATACAACTGATTTGATTTGATCATCATTTTGTTTAAGTAATTTTATTACTTGATATAAAGACATTCCTGAGAGTAGCGAAAACAAAAATACAATAACTTATTGTAGAGTGATGAACACTATGTACATACCAAGAATTATTTCCCATTTTGTTGTATGAATAGAACGTTGTTGTGTGATTTCGACTTCGAGCATTTTTCTTTTTTGTTCTTTTTGTATATAAACTTGTAAAAACACAAAAAAGAACAGACTGTGCTATAAAAATAAAGAAAAAAAAAACACAACAGCACGTGCTTCGTATGATGGATATGAATGAGTTTATTTGACAATAATAGATCGAATCAGATAGTAGATAGAGGTCGCTGATATGCGATTTATTTTTGAATGAAGAAATTTAGTCGTCATTAGACACGTTAATGATTAGTTAATTAAATTGATTTAATTGATCAAAACTAAAATTCACAAATCGAAATGTTATCTGATATGTTTCATATCAAACTGTTGATCAACAATAGAAGCTTTTTAATTACAACTGTGTTGAATAAATTCTATCGTATCATATACGTTTCTAATGTTACAAGATAGTTCAAAGCGATCAACATTAAAGAATTGACACAATTCTTCGGGAGAGTGTAAAGATTTTTTCTAAGTTAACGCACGAAAAATTATCTTGATGATAGATGTGTCATACTGATCTGATGGCATATTCGTAATATAGGAGGAACTATAACTATTTTTATGATACAAATATTTTTAGCAATGATCGCTGCTCTCCTTTGTCGACATTACTTCAATATTTATCGTAGCCGTTTGCGAGTTTGCAGAGAAAAAGAAATGCAGAACAATTCATGTATGTTTTTATGAGGGCGTAGGTCTCAGTGTGGATGGATGGGGTGGGTGTGCAGTGTGTATTAAGAAAAGAATAACACCCATTCACACCCACCTTAATGGTCCCTATATCTATATTATGTCCTAGATAGAGTACTGCATTTCGCTGCAATCCTGAGGTGTAGGAATCGTCGCCATTCAAAGGGTTGAAATTAGCTAGAGTCAAGGATTATTTTTCAGCAAGTTCCATCCACTCGCATGTTGAGACTATCCCTAGATTATTTTATAAATTAGACAAAGTGAAAGCATTTAACATGAAAGCTTGATTAATGATAGAGATAGCATTGAGCTCTCAAATGAAATTCCCTTCTGAAAAGATTTATTTTTCTTTTCAATCTATTGAAAAAATCAGAACAAAGTTGTACTAATAATGAAGGAAAGTAAAGACAAAAATCTTCTGAATGTATCAATGGTATGATAATAATTAGTCGTTTCACATTAGCACAATTGCGTCGCGTTTTCTCTCTTGTAAAGTTGTTTTTTGTTTCATTTCTTAATTCATAATACTTGACTGATAATTCAATTAAACCAGGTTTATATACTTTTGTTTCATTCAAGAATAGCTCAACACAATGAATATTTGTAATTCTCACATCAAATCAGGTAAGATAAGGAAATTTATTAATGAAATTTGATGGATTATTGTCAGATGCAAATGTATTCGAGTTACATGATGATTGTGATGTATGATTTCGAACATGAAAATTCTTTGATAGCGAAAAAGATCGGGCAACTCGAATGAAGAATTCATGGTTGAATGAAACGATGCTTTATACACGCAATTACGTAACATGACTAAATACAACGTTTGAGAATCTATTACAGGTGTGGATGTGGGTGTCTTTTTCTCGAGATCCATGACCACATCCACACCCTAGATAGACGTTCTTCAAATGTCTTATTCACTCATTGAAGAAGACAAAAGTTGTTTTAACAGTGTGTTTTTGATAGAAAACAAATAATATCACCTAAATTATAAAACTTTGTTACACTATGAATATCAGAAGTAAAAAGCTTACCGTAGTCTTATGTAGATAGAAGATGAAATTTAAAACAATGTGCTAGATTAAGTTAAGTTGATACATTCTTGTTTAGTGAGATATATATCTACATTTCAATTAAGCCAGGTAAATGAGAAGGGCTAGATCATTGTTTTGAGAAACTTATGGAAAATACAGAAGTGAGTGTTAGCAATTCAAAACAGTATTCATTAATAAAAAAAAACCAATCGGTTCAATACCTTGAAACAAAGTGAAGATGTTCAATTTTTTTTATCGTAAACATAATTATCACTAGTTTGTTTTCTTATAACTCATCTTAAATAAAATTATACTTATATGAACAAATGATATTCTTAATCAACTAGATTGTTATCACGATATTATCCGGTAATCTTTCTATATAAATGTCAAAATTTCTCAAATTTCTCGTCATACTTATTAGTTTTTTCTAAATGGCAAAAGAATTTGCTTATTCACATTCATAGTTTGTTTTTGTTCCGGCAATTATGATAGGTATGATAATTAATAAACTATCATCAGATATTAAATCAACTATTTAACAAGATAGTATCAAACGAGCAGAACAAGTGATTTGTTATTTGTTGAAAGAAACTTGAAGAATTATCAGATGATCAAAATAAATCAAACATCATATCGTTGGATTATGGATGAAATTTAATATAATGATAAGAATGAAGTAGTCTCATGCTTGGATATTCTGTTGCAAAAAAAAAGTGTTATTTCGCAACAATCAGATATAAATTTTGTCAATTTTAATTATTTATTTAGTATCATGTTAGAAGTTTATTCTCATCCATGAGTTGAATTATATTGAATATGATGATCATCTTTATGGAATGATTTTGAATAGATTTTAATTAAAAATATGTATCTTCTATCATCAATCATACGTTTTGATGTTGTACACTATGAATACTTTATAAAAGTGTAATTAAATTGAAATTTCTATGAATATATAAAGATTAAATATTGTTTACAAATGATAACGTTGTTTAACTGGTGTCATATGTATAAAAAATTTAAAACAAGTAAAATGATTCCATTTCTACTTTTCAACTTTGTCTCAATAGACTAATAAGAGACGCGTGTATACTCAATTGCTGATAATAGAAATTTGCATTATTCATCTATTAAACTCATCATTTTTGTTATGTTTTCATTCTTTTCACACATTTCTCATTGTATATACATATACATGTATACATTCATTAGTAGTCCTTTCGCTCTGTCTCACAATAGCGGCGACTACTAAATAGGTTAGAAGAGTGGTCTGTCTAGACATATGTGCACTCATTCATGTGCACATCGACAAGCCATCAACATTGGTAGTTGCTTCCTGTGTGCATTGAATTCTTCTTTTTCTTCTTTTTCTTCGATAGTATTATTTGATAATTCTTCGTCAATTGACCAACAACTAATGCTCGGTCATTCTCTTGCGGATACATAGACCAGACATCAATACAAATATATGTAGCGGTGACGATGCAAGTGAACGAGAAAGAGAAAAAGTTTCTTTTTTTCTTTTTTTCTTTTTTCTTTTTGAGTAATAAAAAGAGAGAAAGAAAGAAAAAAAAATAAAGTCAGAGAATGACGCCAACCAACTGGTCAGTCGTTCGTTATGTAGTTCATGGAGAAGTATGTAAATGTGTGGAAATAAAGACAAGAATGGATATTATTGATGATAATATATAGATAATTTAGAGAATGGATATTAATATGTAATATTAAACAAATTGAAGAAAGAAGTTTAATTTATCAAGATAAAAAGGTATTTTTGAAAACATATGTTTTTAATTTAATTATTCGTAGGATAATATATAATTATAACTATACTGAATATATATACATATATATGTCGATGAAAAATTTGATTTTTATTTTCGATTCAATCATTCTATTGAATTTAAAAAAAATCAAAAAATAGAATCTATCTTTCGAATAAATATATAACAAGATGAGAAACGAGATGTATAAAGTTTTTTGTTTATTTTTTTTCTATAGTATAACAGCGACTCATACCATCAAACTGACAAGTGACCAACAATCATCTTATCATCTGGTCTAAATAAACAATGGTAATAACACCCATCTATAAACATATATCATCAATCATATGTACAAAATTCTTTTTCTTTATCGTTATTCTATCATAATGATAAATCATATCGTAGAAACTTTGCGTTCATTTAATCTATTTCGGGGATCCGTATTTCTCATTTTTGTTTCTTTTTAACATATTTTTCTTTTCGTATGTGTGGAACTTGTACTTTCTTCTCAAGTTTGATGACGAACAGCGCGAGGTCCACAACAGTGATAATAATTATGTATACAAAATCAGCGCTGTTGTTTGTATGGTTGTATCTTCATTATTTACTCTTGTAGTTTGTTCTTTTTTTCTTCTTCTTGTTGATGTTGTTCTTATTATCTAATGATTTTGGACATAAGAAATATTCTAGCAAAGACTAATAATTAAAATTTTTTCTATGCTGTTAGTCACATATAACATGCGTTTATTTATCCAAAAAAAGAAGAAACAAAAAGTGACACCGACATAGATAACAACAGCAAATGGAGACAACAAAGGAGAATTATATGGTTGAACAAAAAGAAACATGTTGAATGAACAAGACAAACAAGAAACGTTTTCTTTCTAAATGTATACAGCTCGAAGAATTAAAAAAAGATAATCGAGCATCATACGGGAATAATGTCAAAAAAAGGAAAGAAACAAATCCATTCTCTATTTGTTGTTGTTCGCTATTGATATATACATACACAAACATACGCACAAAAAAACATATAGCAAAAAAAAGAGAAAGATGTGGGCAGGAATAACAAAATGTTCCATTTTCTTTGGATTGTTTCAATTGCGACCACGATAGCCACCACCACCTCCGCGACCACCTCCACGGCCATAAGGTGCACCACCACCTCCTCCGCCTCGGCCACCACCTCCACCACGTCGCATTGGACCACCACCTGATGATGATCCATAATTTTGACCGAAACCGAAACTAGATGGTGCTCCAAAGGCTCCAAAACCTAAAATAAAAGCTTTCAAAAAACCAAATTCATTCTCGCAACATTCAGCTTACCATCGTCATATCCTCCTTGAGGTGGTCCTCCCATTCCATATCCTCCTCCGCCTCCTCCACCACCCATAGGTGCTGAACCACCATAACCCATCATTCCACCACCACCTCCTCGTCCCATATCACCACCATAACCACCACTATACGGTGCAGCTCGATTACCATAATCTCCTCCGGCTCCATAGCCACCACCGCCACCGCCGCCACCACCAGATCGATAACCACCACTGCCACCACCACTACCACCTCCACCAAAATTTGATTCACCACCCATAGGTCCCCAACCACCACTACTCATTCTTGATGATGGTCCACGCATGCCACCACCACCACCGCCACCACCACCTTGTCCACCGTAGTTTCCTGCAGCCATTCGACCACGATTTGTTTGATCTTTTGGTAAAGCTTTTTCAACATTAACAGGATTTCCTTTGATAACATGATGTTTTTCTAATACAATTTTATCTACTGGATCATAACTATAATAGAAATAAATAAGATAATCTAATCATTTTTTTGGATAAAAGATAAAAATTCTTACTCATCAAATTCAACAAATCCAAAGCCACGTAATTTTCCTTCATTTGTTTTCATAATAACAGCATCAATAATATTACCATACTAAAATCAAATAATTTTTGTTATTTTTATAATTATATTATTTAATTATCATTTTTACTTTGGAAAAATATTCATTGAGATCATGTTCATTGATTGTTCCTTCTCGAATACCACCAACAAATAATTTTTTAGCACTTAACGCTGATTCTGGTTTTCCACTTTCTTCTCTTGGTACAGCTCGTTTTGGTTCAATTTCACGTGAATCAAGAACATGTGGACGACCTGCCATTAAACGATCGACCATTGTTGATGAGGCATAAGTAACAAAACCAAAACCTAATTGACAAAATCAATAAATATAAATATGAATTCATCGATGTATATTTACCTCGAGATCGACCTTCACGATCACGCATTATAATACAATCCTATGAAAAATGAAAAACATTTCTCTTCTATTTCAAAATACGAAAAAAATAAACTTTCTTCACAGTGAAATAAATTTTCAACAAACTATATAAAGAGTAAACTCAAAATAAAAGACTTCATATAAATATTGAGATGACGGAAAGATCTCAACTGTTGGCATATTTCCATTTTTTATAGGTTATTCTAACGTTTTTTTTTTTATTAGTTGATCTTCTCTATAAAATAAAATATTTTAATGATTATGTTTGCAACTAGATATTTCATGAAAAAAATCTATCGTTCCAATTATCACAAGAATAGTAATTATTCTATTTTGTATATACTTACAACAATATCTCCATATTTTGAAAAATAATCTTTAAAAACTTGATCATCAGTTTTATATGAAAGTCCACCAATAAAAACTTTTCGAAGAGATTCTGGTTCTAAATCATTTTTATTATATGTTTGTTGTTCATTATTCTCATAAGTATTTTTTGTTGAATCATTTTGTTGTTGCTGTTGTTGTTGTTGTTGTTGTTGTTGTTCAGTTTGATTAGTTCCATTTGAATGAAACATACCATTTGTTGATGTTTCTGTTTGTTCATTTTTTAAAATAGAACTTTTATCATCATCAACAATTGTATCGGTTAATGTATTTGTTTCATTCGACATTTTAGTTTTTTATTTATTAAACTGATAATCGTTTGATCATCTAAAAATTAAATCTTCAATTGTGGATTGATTTTATTTTTCTTTAAATATTTTATTTTATTTTTATTTTTTTGATGTTTTATTTTATATATTAAATACATATATATATTACTATACAAATCTTCTCGTTACAAAACATGAAATATATTAAATATTACAAACGCGATTGTATATGTGTGTGTACTGTCGACCGTATTCATAATGCTATTCTCTCACTCGTTCATGAGATGCAGTACTTCCTACTGCCTGCCTCTGTTGACTAAATCTACAAATAGACAAGAAATGATTATATTGTCGAATTGATCCGTCAATACTCAAAACTCTCTCATTTGAATTTTTGTTGAAAAAAAAGAAACAAAAAAAGAGAGGAACAAACAAAAAAATAATTACCTGAATATACTTTTGATGTAAACATTGTTTACAAGAAAAAAAATATATATTGATTTTAATCTAGAAATAAAAAATAAACATATTATTGAATTATATTATCTAATCGTCCATGAATATTATAATAATCTATACAAGCAAGAAAATCAAGTAATTTAATATGTTTTATAAGATTATTATCAAGAATTATATCGGGTATAGTAGATTCATAAATAATATATGTCATTAATGTTTGATTTATATTATTTGAATCTGTATCACTATTAATTCGATGTAATTTTGGTTCACGTTTAAGTAAAATAGCACCTGTAATTTTTATTAAATCAATAATATCTTCTTTTTTATATGTATGAAATTGACCATAAAGATAAAATTGACATTTATTAAAAAGAAGAGATTCCTTTAAAAGAAAAAAAAAAAGAGATAAAAATTAACAAAAATTTTTTTTTTCTTTTTCGGTGTTTACATTTTGTTCATGTTTTATTCGACTAATATGTGATCCATTTGAATTTGGTTCAAGTTGTGAACCAAGAATTTCATAATCATTTTCATTTATCCATTGTTTTTGTTTTATACATTCATCAATCCCTAACAAACAAACAAAAATTTTAACTTTTTTTTTTTTTTTCTTTTACATTTTTCTGAAACAATCCATTTGCCAAGAACAATACCACGTAAATAATTTATTGTACGAAAAGCTATTTTATCAGTTTCACCACATGCTATTACATGTGTAACTAAATAAAAACAAAATCACTAGAATAGAATGAAAAAATAAAAATATCGAACCATTATTTTCAACATTTCGAGCTGTTGTTACAGATTTACGACCAAATATTGTTTGAATAGATTTCATTAATGAGTCTTTACGTATTTTATCAAAACCAGTAAGAAAAAGAATATTTGATGATGATATTGTTCGTATACGTCGTTTTGAAGGTGGAGCTATTGGTAAATCATTATGAGAAGGTTTTATACATTGATTTTTTTCGAAAAGTAATGAAATATTTGAATTATTTAATTCAGTAACAAGATCAATTGCTGTTTTACCATTTTTATTTCTTTTATTTTAATAAAGAAATTAATAGATGTTTTTTTTTCTTTGCTGCAGAGAAGAAAATTATTAACATACTTTATATGTGGATCAGCTCCATTTTCAAGTAAAAATTTGATTATAGATTCATTTATATTTTCATTTAAAAGTGCTTCATGTAAAACAGTCATTTGTTCTTGACCACCTTGTATATTAATATTAGCATTATTAGCAAGTAATAATTCCATTAATGAAATATCTCCCATAGAACTAGCCTAGTAAAAAAACAAAATGTAATATTTTGTTATTAAAACCTGATATGTGATTAAATTAATTTTATTTAATAATGAGAATGTTTAAATATTAATATTACGAATATGCTTCCATTTCTTATATGTTAGTTATTAAAAATGTCTTATGTAATAGGATAGTATTGATTAAAGTTAATCTCTAAACACAACAAGATGAAAACTCATCATTAATTTTTATATACTTTTCATATTTTAAATATATATATATAAAAGTCATTCATCAATACTTGTTCATTGCATATTCTATAAAGAGAACGTATGGTACATAAATTGTCGTTCAATCTATGGCTAGACAATAGTTTGTCTGTTGTCAATCTTTGTACTATTATTCTCCAATGACACCTTCATTCATAGAAATGCTATGTGTTCTATTCCCAATGGATATAAATAATTTACCTCATGCAATGGTGTCCATGAATTATTATCGATTGTATTAACAGAATGACCTTCTTCTATTAATTGTTTAACACGTGTAATATCACCTTTTTTCACAACTTGATGTATTAACGATTCACCTTTATCATTACGTATATCGATTGATGATTTAGTTGATAATATTGATTTTGTATGATTAGCAATAGATTTTTCCTTAGTCTAAAATAAATATTAACAAAAGATTAATTTAGTTAATAATATATTTCTTACGTCTAATTCTTGTTCAGTATTTATATCTTGTTGTTTTATTAATTTAGTTATTTCAATTGATTTTGTATCATGTTTGATTTGTTGTACTTTTCGTGTTAAACGTATTGATTTTGTTTTTTTTTCTTCACCTTGTTCATCTTTTTTTTTATGAATTGGAGTAATTTTTTTAACAATAGCTGGACTAATTATTGATAATGGTACATCAATATCTTCAGTTTTCTTTGTTCGTTTTGATGGTGATTCATTTTCTTGTGTTTTTGAACTTATTGATCGTTTCGATAGATTTGAATTACGAATAGTTTTACGTCGTATTTGATTTTCTTCTAATAGAAGATTATTTGATTGATTTTCTTTATTATTTTCATTATCACTATCTTCATCAAGTATATTGAACTTTTTTTTCTTAATTATTATCTTTTTTTTTGTATCAATTGTAGATATTATTTGTTGATTTTCACGAATAGATGGACGTAATAAATTTAAACATGTTAATACACCTTCTTTAATAGCTTCTTTTTTTTGTTCAATATGATCTTTAGATTCATTAGTACATTCATCTAAAATAATGAATAACAAAAAAAAAAAAAGAAAAGAATTGAATATCAATATTCTTTTTGATTTTTTTTTTATTACATACTTAATTCATATAATGTACGAAATGTCCGATTAAGTAATGCTAAAACTTTGTTGTATTTTATATTTAAATTAATTAATGACAAATGTAAAATTTTTCCATTGGAATATTGTTTTTCTGCACATGATCTTTATATAAAAAATGAAAATATTAATTACAAAAGAAAAAGGTAATAGAAATTTTATATTTTATTTACAGACAAATTATTGTTTCTTGTCCATTAATAGTAAAGATTTCACGTGGAAGTGTTTTGCTGAGAAGAAGAAGAAAAAAAAAAAACAATAAGAATTTGATATTTTAAAATAAATCAATAACAAACCATAATGAACATAGAAGAAGTTGACAACATTGTTCGGTACAATCCAATATTGATGTCAAATAATTTTCATCCATTTTATAAATATATCAATAAATTTTGATGAGATAAAATTTGAATAAATGCTTCAAAGTAATTATTTAAAAGACTTTTGTTTTTTTTTTTTTAAATAGAAAGAAAGAAAGAAACAATAGAATTGTTTTGTTTTATTTGATTGGTCGATTGTAAACCGTTGATGTTAATGAATGACATATGTAAAATGAGAATATAAATTCATAAATTATTTAAAGAAATATTCAAAAACCAGATCTAATCTTTGTATTGAAAAAAAAATCTTGTTTATGATTCCAGTAAATATTGATTTTTAAGCGACATCTATCATTAACTTAGAATTAAAATTAGAGAATGACATATTTTATGTAGCAGTAAGATCAGGCGAAGAAACATTCAGTAAATATTGCTGTTCGAAACAAATAATTGAGAACTCATAAGTTAATCTTTTGCTTTAATGTAATAGAAGGACAAGAATAAGAAATACAAATATCATTTTTTTCATGGTCATTTATGTTTATTTATTAATTCCATGGGCGGCGCAGAGTTTTTGGATACGCTGAATCTCAGTTTCAGAGCATGGGATCCAGATGAAATTTATGGAGGGTGATATTGAGCCTAAATGCTGAGTTTTATTCAAAAAATTTTTGCGATCGAAGCTGGCGACAAAATTTTTAAAAATCTTATTGCCACCCCTAAAAATTTTTTTGCCTTTTTGTAGTATTCCATTTTGTTAAATTCAATCGTAATCTACACCGAATTTCATCGACAGATTTCAAATTTCACCTAAAAATATGCATCCGTTCAGGAGTTATGACATTTTGAATCTTTGAGAGATGGCTCGACAATTTTCACCAGAATTCAAAATGTTATAACTCCTAAACGGATGCATATTTTTAGGTGAAATTTGAAATCTGTCGATGAAATTCGATGTAGATTACGATTGAATTTAAAAAAATGGAATACTACAAAAAGGCAAAAAAATTTTTAGGGGTAGCAATAAGATTTTTAAAAGTTTTTTCGCAAGCTTCGATCGCAAAAATTTTTTGAATAAAACTCAGTATTTAGGCTCAATATCACCCTCCATGAGTTTCATCTGGGTCCCATGCTCTGAAACGGAGATACAACATATCCAAAAAATCCTGCGCCGCCCATGATTAATTCTAACAATTGTTTACAGTATATTTTTGATTTTTCTTTGAAATAATATGCTTTCTTTTTTAATCCTGAGGAAGAAAGTTATGTGATGTGAACACATTTTGAGACAAGATTAAGGAACTTTTGACTTTTTGTTCAAGCGTGTGTAAGTGTAATCACAAACAAAATACCATGAGTAGCTCAGATTAATAATAAAAGTTTGTTCTCATCGTGAACAAGCGATAGTAATACTCTATTGGATCGAATCATAGGAAAAACTCATGGATTATATAAAGTACGATTTAGAAAAAGTTCATATCTTACATAAAAAAGAAATACATCAACATTGATCTTTAATTAATGTCGAGTCTTGAAAGAAGAATTTTCAATCTACTTTCTTGATAAAAATAAAATATTGATGGTACAGCATCAACTAAAACAAGAAATTCTATTGTGGATCTGCTCAATTTGTTTAGAATTTTTCTTATGCATAAATAATTTCTAGATAATAAAAATCCTCCAGTCATATTTCATACTAAAGAGAAAAATATTCGATATGTGTATTTCTGTTTTGACTCATTTAGACATCTTGCAATAGTAGGATTGTTTTAGTGGAATGCTTGCTGAGAGTCAAGCATTACTAGAAAACAAAAAATAAAAATGAAGCATTTTGACTTGAAGTTTTGCATACAGATAGATTTAATAGTTTATTAAATAGTGTTAAAAGTTTCAACGACAACGAATATATTTTTCTCGAGACATTCAATGAACAAAAAACAATACTTTACCGTGAGAGAACATAAATTATCCATTCTACTTGAATGTTAATCTTTATAAAGATATGTTTGTTTTTGTTGAAACTTTCACGACTATCTAATGACTCTTTAATCTATCTACATGCGAAATTTCCGGTCACAACTCTTCATTGTTATTTTTTTTTGGACTGCTTAACTCTCAGTAAACATTTCAGTGAATAATGCATCAACTGAGAAGTAAATTGTAACTGATATTTTGTAAACAGAACAGTATGCTTCAGACCATATCGTCCATCTCTTCACTTTCATACAGTGCTGCACCGTTGAGAAAAACTGAAAACAATGCTTTTTCTCTTAAAAAAAAAATATCAATTACAACGTACTTCTTCATTTATTTTAAAAAACCTTTTTAAAGGATATCGACTGATACAAAAATTTTTTCTATACATACGTATTCAAATATAAAAATATAAGAAAACCATCGATTAACATCATACAATATAGCTATTATAGATTTTTCTAATATATCTATAATAATCTAGATAGTTAAGACATATCTCTAGCTGTTAGTATTATTGAAAAAGCAAAATGTAGAGTTGAAGTGAGTTAAGTTAGGCAAATATAAATATTTTATTCTATACTGTTTGTTTTATTTATTTTTCTATTCAATAGAATCTTGGTAACAAAAAGTTAAAACAATCATTAACTGGAATAATAACATCTTCGAAATTAATCCAATCAATTAATATTCATAATAACCGTTCCCAAACGTCTTCTTTGTTATACTCATATCTTGCATTACCTCATATGAAAAACCACTACTTTTATTGAATAGAAGGAAAAAAACGACGAACTAATTCAAATAAAATATCATTCACAACATTTCTCTCTATCAGTCAACGGCATAATCAATCATTAAACTTTATGAATAAACAGCAAATATTTAATATGATAACTACAAAGAAATCTAAAAATATTTTTAATGAAACAAATAAGATAGATATATTGCTTGTTGCACAACCCATTACACTTATTTATAGTATAAAAACAAATTATCGTCAACATATTACAAGATGATTATTGTATTGAAAAAACAGTAATAAACTTTAATTTTTTTTTTGTATTTATTTGAATCTATATCTTTGCTGTGTTTATTTTCGATCACAGAACCTGAGAATATCGAGTAATGGGGAAGATTCCCATCGTGATTAAAAAGTTTTTTTTCTTTTTTTCTACGTAGTAGATTATTTATTTTTGATCACGGCACGAATAATGATTGAGTGATGGATAATTTGCAATGACGCGTAAATATTTTGTTTTTTCCCACATTTTATGCATAGTTTTGTTATTTTTGTTTTCGATAATGATGAGAACCTGATAATATTGAATGATTAATCAGATTGCTATAATTAGTAAACAGATTTGCTTTTGTTCAATTGACACAAGCAGAAGTTCGAATAAACTATTTAGTTGAACTGTTAGTAATTGTACTTGATTGAATTATGACATATAGTAATAATTATTTGTCATACATATTTGTGAAACAATAAAATATTTATGCAACTTTTATTTCAATCTGTACATTCTTTTTATATCTAATTTACTCATACAAGATTGTATTATACCAGAGGCGGATCTATGATTTCGGAAGAGCGATTGTAAGCAAAAAAGCTCTTTTTTAAGACCTATATTCAGTAGTATAAACTTCTTTTTTTTGTTTGTTTTAGCCGTCACTTCAAAATATATACAAATAAAACAAAATGATCAGAAATTTAATATTTATTTAATACTACTTAATTATAAAAAACTAAAATGTATGAATATTTATAAAATAATACAATAAATTATGATAAATATATAAAATTATTTATTTATTACTTTTATTTATTGTGTTTAATATAGTTTTTTTTTTTATAAACTCTTGTACAAATGAATTAGATTATATTATTTATAAAGTTTTATTCTTATAATAATAAGAAAAATTTTACTTCCAAAAAGTTTTTTCCAATTTTTTTACGCAATTTTAACTCAAATGAATTCTTATGTAAAATATGACACTCTGTTATATCATTAATAAAAAACAAAATCAAAACCTTCATGTACGATTAAAATTTTAACATGATAAAAACTTGACGCCATTATCACCTACATTTATTACTCGTTAAAAATGAAAAAGTAAACATTATTTTATTAAACATATTTTCTTGATAGGTACTCTTCTTTTCTAGATTCATTCACCAACAATTACAAACAAGATAAATATACAAAATATTGAAATTATATTTCATTTAACCAATAAACTTCGTGTTCTATTATACGTTATCTTTTTGAAAATTTTATGTTAATTTTAAAATAAGACAATTTATTTGTATGTATTTCTTAACAACTATCGATAATTTTGAAGGCATAATAAAATGTTTGGATAGATTAAAATATCTTGTTAATCAATAGCATCTTTCCTTTACTTTGAACAGTAACACTTTTGTTGTTCTGAAAAAAAGATTTTTTTTTAAAGTGTGCATTTTTTTGAGAATTTCTATTCCTACAAAACTCTTATATTTGAAATAGAAATGAATTATATCACTTAGGTTATATACCTTTGTTAGCATATGAATCATAGAATTAAAAAGTTTTTCTCAGTCTTAGCAACACGTTTAGTGTTAACAAAAGACATATATCTAATTTTTGTACGATATATCAGTATCAAAAGAGGGTGAGATTTAGAACAACACGCTATGGTAGTATTCATTTGCTAAATCTTTCTTTACCAAAAACTTCTTGCTTCTGCTATGTATAACTTAACAAAAGTATTTAACAGAAATGATATAATCGGTTTCTATTTCAAATATAACAGTGTTGTACGGTAGGGATGAGAAAGTTATTGTTATTGTTATTAATAACAATAACATTAACTTTTTGATTCAAAACAATCAATGAAGCAAATCTAAGTATAGTTTGTATGAGTGTCAAAAGATCACTTTAGTAATACAGTATCTTTTCTTACCATTTGATATAAGAATTTACGGTAAATATTTTGAGAAATTTCAAAATAACATATTTTGTTATTGTTATTGTTATTGTTATTGTTATTGCTATTTAGCAATAACAATAACAAAATATGTTATTTTGAAATTTCTCAAAATATTCACCAGAAGTTCTTATATCAAATGCTAAGAAAAGACACTGTATTACTAAAGTGATTCTTTGATGTTCGTACAAGCTATGCTTAGAATTGTTTCCATTGATTGTTTTGAATCAAAAAGTTAATTTTATTGTTATTAATAACAATAACAATAACAATAACTTTCTCATCTCTATTGTACGGATAAATGTTTCCCAAGATATCCACACTATTGAAACAATTATTTATACATCTGTAAATTGAAAAGCCATCATATGAAAAAAAAGCCTTTTGTCGAATCGTTCAAAATTTCCAGTGTAGACAAAAATAAAATACTGCTATTAAACTCCTCTTCAAAAAGAAAACTACAATAAACAGTACTCGTTATGTAAAGTACAATTTATTCTGTTGAATCATGTTTCATTAACAACGTTTCAATCTAGAACAGGAGCGTACGAATTTGAAAAACAAAAAGTAGTTGAAAAGTCTTTTAGTTTTTGAAGATGAAAAACAGCATATTGTGATTATATGATAACTAAAACTTAAATAACTCAATCAATTGATCTGAAGTCTTCTCACTAGTACGCTAGAAACTACGAGCTGTAATCTAATGAAAACCAGAACATTTTAGCTCAATTCGGTTTTGAGATATGCACAAAATAAAATAATCTATCTCTTTGATAATTTTGAC